GCGCCCCGTGGGCGGGGCCTGGGATAGCCCCGCCCAGCGCCACCCGGGCGAGGGGGCGCGCGTGGCCCCGGCGCGCGTGGGGACGGGGGACAGGCGCGCGCGGAGGGGGTGGCAGGGGACACGCGCACACAGGCAGCCGTGCACGCAGCATTTGCGTGCGATGCTCGCACGCACGCAGGGAGCAGCGCACGCGGTGGTTGCACGCTTTGGAGGCAGCGTGTCTTGCACACGCGTGGGGCAGAGCACGGGACGTTTGCACACATGCAGGGAACAAGACACAGGGTGCGCAGGGGGAGGCAGCACAGGTTTGCATGCACACGGGGAGCAGGGCCTGGAGTGCTTGCATACACAGGAGGAGGGCATGCACATTTGCACGCTGAGGGAGCTACGCAGTGCATTTCTGCACACATGGAGTTGTGCATGGTGCATTTACACACACACGGGTGCAGCACACAGTTGCATGAGTGTGCACAGAGCTGGCATGGTGCACTGGTGCACTTGCACACAGGCACAGTGGCACAGCATGAGCTTGCCCATGCGCACAGGGAGCAGCACGGGGTGCTTGCGCATACCCGAAGTGAGCCGTGCACAGGCAGAGGTGCCAGGGGCACTTCACTCTTGCGGGAGGGAAGTGACGCCGGGAGCTGAGCCTGTAAGCTGTGGGGATGCAGAAGCGGCAGTGCAAGGCAATGGGCCTGGCAGAGCAACGGCAGCTCTGGCATGTCCCGCTTTATCCGATGGCAGGGAGCTGTTGGATCCGCTCTGCCTCAGCAGCTGCACTTGGGAGAGGCTCTTTGCATCTATCTGTCTGGTTGCAAATGAGATGGCCCCAGAGGCACTCCTCCTGTGCACCCCCTCTCATGCATCCCCTTCTGTGCATCCACTCCCCATGCATCCCCTCCCCTTTCATCTCCTCCTTGTGCATCTTCTTTGTGCACCCTTTCCAGTGCATCTCCTGCCTGTGCATCCCCTCCTGGATCACCCCTTCCAGTGTTTCCCCTCCCATGAATCTCCTCCTGTGCATCCCCTCCCAGATTTCCCTCCCCGTGCAACCTGTCCCCATGCATCCCCTCCAGGCACCCCCTGCCCCAGGTCACCCCTCTGCATCCACCAGCACTGCTGCCCATCCCGCAACACTCCCCATCGCGCTGGGGCCTCGGGAGCTCTGGCGGCTCTGGGGCCAGGGGACAGCGTGGGCCGTGTCCTAGAGGGCGCCAAGTCTTCAGGAACGAGCGAGCGGCGCCGCTGCGGCTGCAGGGCTGCAGCATGGGGTGGCCCCGCGGTGCATGGGGAGCACGCGCAGCCCCTCGGCCACGCTGGCTCGTCCGCCGGTCACCGTGCTCAGCGGCTGTCGCCTCCCTATGGAGAACACGCTCTGCTTGCGCTCCTCTCCCAAATATCAGGGTTTCAGTGCACAGGATGGGGAAAAATACATGAATGCTGCAGAGGAGGGAGCGGAACCGGGCACGTCGCAGCCCCGGAGGAGGCTGCAGCCACGCAGCTATTTCGGGCTCGGCTCGGCGTGCCGAGGGCTGCGTCTCGCACGCAGAGTCGGTGCCAAAGACACCAAGCGCTGCCGGGTCCCTGCAGACGACGAGCGCGGGCAGCTGCTCCCTGCCTGGTGGAGCTCTCGGCCTGGCAAGGGCCCCTGTTCCCCCAGTAACCCCCATCCCTTGGGATGCCCCCATCCCCAGGATGCTCTGCACTCCTGCCATGGCCCCGGTCCTGGAATGCCACTGGTTCACTAGCATGCAGCATTCCCAGGAGGCCCCTTCTCCCTTGGGACCTGCCCTGCTTCCTGGGTGCCCTCGGTGCCCAGTGTGGTCCCTGTTCCCTGGGATGTCTCCTGTTCCCTGGGTGTCCCCCAGGTTGCTCCCCGTTCCTTGGGAATGCTGCCTCTTCCCCGGCATGCTCCTGTCCCCTTGGGTGCCCTTTTGCTGTTCCCCAGGGTGTCCCCTTTCCCTCTCAGGATACCCCCCATCTGTGGGAAACCCCATTTTCCCCAGGACACTCCATGCCCAGGATGTCCCTCTTCCTGTGGATGCTGCATTCCCTGGGATGCCCCCCCCCGACATGCCCCCCCACACCCCAGAATATCTCCTGGGATGTCCCTGTCCTCTGTTTGTCCAAGATGTTCCCATGCTGGATGTCCCTTTTCCCTGGGATGCCCCTTATCCCTCCAGGATTCCGCACATCCTCAGGAGCCCCGGGGATGCCCGTGTCCCTGCGGGATGTCTCCTTTCCCTCCGGGATTCTGCCCATCCTCAGGAGCTCCAGGGACATCCATGTCCCCCAGGGATGTCCCCTGTTCTCCCCGGGATTCTGTCCATCCTCGGGAACTCTGGGGATGTCGTCCGTGTCCCCCAGGGATGTCCCCTGTTCCCCTGGGATTTCATCCATCCTCAGGAGCTCTGGAGACATCCGTGATCCGTGTCCCCCAGGGATGTCCTCTGTTCCCCTGGGATTCCGTTCATCCTCGGGAGCTCCGGGGAAGTCCATGTCCCCCCGGGATGTCCCCTGTTCCCCCCGGGATTCCATCCATCCTCGGGAGCTCCAGGGATGTCCGTGTCCCCCAGGGATGTCCCCGGGATCCCGCGCGCCCTCCGGAGCCCCGTGTCCCCCCGTGTCCCCGCGGGGTGTCCCGTTCCC